TTGGCTCCCCATGGGATAGCACCATCAATACAGGGCACCGCTTGGCTCCCCATGGGATAGCACCATCAATACAGGGCACCGCTTGGCTCCCCATAGAGTAGCACAATCAATATAGGGCATCCTTTGGCTCCCCATGGGATAGCACCATCAATACAGGACACCGCTTGGCTCCCCATAGAGTAGCACTGTCAATATAGGGCACCGTTTGGCTCTCCATGGTGTAGCACCATCAATATAGGGCATCCTTCGGCTCCCCATGGTGTAGCACCATCAATATAGGGCATCCTTCGGCTCCCCATGGGGTAGCACCATCAATATAGGGCATCCTTCGGCTCCCCATGGGGTAGCACCATCAATATAGGGTACCCTTTGGCCCCCGCTAACCTGTTATTACAAAAAGCGAATGTTTCGGCGTTCAAAGATCCCCCCCTTCAGAGCAGCTGCTGCAACACTGCCTTATCTTTTTCATTGTTCACCTTCCAAATAATTGATTGTGGTGATGGCGCCATTTCTGGGCCCCCAATACAGTTTGGCTGTTTTTTATTTTGTCTTATAACCCCAATAGTAAACTTTGGACTCTTATTTCTTTGGGCCGGTGCTCCCAATAGACTTGTTATCTGCAGATTCCAAACTGCGGGTTCTCCTAGGTAAGGGGTGCCATGTTTGTGCTCAGAGCAGCCTCATTGGGGCCACGGTGTCCATATGAATTAAACTGACCTCCTTCCACCATGAACCACTGATAATTCGAATCTAGTACCCCAGTTATAGACGTTCCACCCCCTTAAAACTCTGATGACCTATGCCTCAGGAGCCAGCGCCTTTTACCACCCCCAAGAGCCAATATGGCCGCAAATCCCATTGATCGATAATGACACTCAAGGCCAACCATTTGCATTTTTTCTCCATAGGCTCCGCCTCTCCCCCAGCCCTAGCGGGCAGAAGAGGGTGGCCCGGACAGGAGGGCAATCCGCGGGAAATGTCAGCTCTTCCTCCAAGAAGCGTAAACTGGAGGTGGCAGATTCGCAGACCACAACTTACACTCAGCACGCCAGGACCAGCGGGAAGGTGGGCGTCGAGGAGGTGGACCAGGAAGGAAAGTTTGTCCGACTAAAGAACAAGTCCAATGAGGTGAGACTGGAGATTTAACATGGAGAAAGCTTCCTGGTCAGGTTTTATGCCCATGTCCCAGGTTGGTGACATTTCCCATGACTTCCTGTCCTGGTTACTGCTTCAGGATATGAGGAGCAATCTCTTGAATAAAGAACATTTCATGCAATA